CATGGGCTCCACCTCACGACCCTGAGATCATGTCCTGAGCTGAAATCAAGAGTGAGATGCTTAACTGACCGAGCCACTGAGGCACCCCTCTGTTTTGCTTTGGTATTCTCACTTGTATTTAGCATCTTGCTGCCATGAACATGTCGTCACAATATAGGATCGGTGATTGATTTATTTTCATGCCCATGATATTTCATCAGTTTAACAAATGCATGTTACAGCTTTTCCCGTCTGACCCCTGTTCCATTTGACAGAACTCCTGTATGTGTAGCCCATGTTGAGGTCTTTGCGACCCCTGCCATCTTGCACACCCTGGTAAGTGTATGACAGGTACCAGGAGAGCAGAGGGCCAGCCTCAGGGAGCGGATGGAAGAGTCTGAGCTGCCTTTTTGTAGACTTGAACATTTCACAGCACCGTGTCCTTGGGGTGTCACTGCTCAGACCTGGGGGCCTGTGTCCCGGGTTCTGGTCTTGCTGCCCGCAGAGCTCCTCACCTTCCCGTCCGTTCAGTAGAGGAGTGTAGAATGTAGGCTAGACATGCAGGCCCGTGTGCCCACACGGGTAGAGGAGTCCCTTCCCCTAACTCTTCCTGGGGGTCTGTGAATCTTGGTAGACTCCTTCTCTTTGAGATGGGTTAACCTGGACCTGACCGGATTTGTGTAGATGTAGCCTGAGAAAGTCCTTTCACCTTGGGGTGGGTGAGTGTGGAGCTGGATTTGGAATTTTGAGACCAACTACCTCCCCCTGCTTCTGTAACCAACCACGTTCTACTCTTCATCTCCAGTGCGCAGGCTGTATGAGGGAGAGGGTCCCAAGGTCCAGCCCTGGGCCTGGTTAGAGCTGGAGAAAATTGAACGAGGAGTATTTCAACGTTCCTTCTTCTTTATTGTAGACGAATCAATGAAAGGTATGTTTTTACAGCCATCAAAATAAACAACTTAAACAGACAATAAAAGAGAACTTCAGCGCTGAAGAGAAATGCTGAAACCTCGATGTTCTGGTGGATCCCAGGCTCTGAAGGATGGGTGGGACGTGACTCCTGTGTGGGGAGAGTCTTCATCTTCAGCAGCCCACGGCAGAGAGCTTGACCAAAGCAGAGCAGGGGACTGGAGGCTGCCGACATTCCTGCTTCTGAAGGTCGCTGCGTGTGAAGATCAAGGGAAGCAGGTTTGCACCAAGGACCCAGTAGGCTGGGCTGCGGCCGTCCCCTGGCGCGTCCCCCGGTGCGTCCCCCGGTGCGTCCCCCATGGTGCCGTCTGCCCCAGAGGCACTGGCCTGGGACCTGCTTGGCTGTCACTCCTTACATTCTGCCAATTCCATTGACTGCGTCGGCTTCCGCTGCTGAGGGCCGTCCTGGGAGATGGAAATACCTTTTTATTTACTTCAAAAGGTCTGAAATCCCTTAAATTACTTCAAAAATTTAGGTGTTCCCATTGTCAAAAGCACATCTCCCCGGGGCTCCTAGGAAGGAGAGGAGAGGTCCTCTGTGAACACTTCCGAGGACTGACGTTCAGCCCTTGCAGCCCTTGCAGGCCTTCGAGGCAGGTGCACTCAGTCTCCCTTGTGCACATGGAATAATGGCATCTGGGAGAGTCTAGACGGTGAACAAGGGTGCTGTTTTGGAAATGAGCTCAGTGTGGTGTGCAGACACTGTCAAGCGCCGCTGGGACTGCGCTCAGACCCGAGGACTGTCGCTCTGTGGGGCCCGTCTTCTGACTGGCTACTGCAGACGCCACTGGTTTGCTTCACCTGACGTGAAGTATCAGGTGAAACACGTATGACCACGACACGAGGTCGCCGCGCACATGGCTAACGGACTGGCATGTGCTTGGACCGGGTATGTTGTGGGGCTCAGGGTGTGGAACTGAGGTTGGTGGTCATGAGCTTTTAGGGCTTCCTTGGTGAGCACCAGGGCTGGTGCGTGTCCCGTACCTGCGGAGATGGTGGAGACCGTGTGGGTGGTGGCCTCTCCCTCTGCATCTCACCTCCCTCAGCGTTGGGAGGATCCGTAAGCAAGGCTGCCCTTGAAGTCGGGCTGAACACGGCGCCAAGAATCACGTGGAGCCCCACTGCTGATGTGAGTCTGTGCTTTAGGCAGAATTGCCGAGAACGGGGGATGTCCTGGACGTGGGCTTGTTTTCAGAAAGTTAGACCAAGACCACGGAAGATGATGAGTCTCTCTCTGATAATTCTGGTTTTGCAGAGCCTTGCGTGGGTTCTTCTTGAGACATCGGTCTCAAAAAGATACCAAATGATTATTTTTAACAGATCCCTAACACCATCACATTTTTGTTATTGTTTAATTTTAATAGAAAAAACTTTTACTTTTGTCCTTTTCTTTCTCACAAAAGCGAAGACAAGAATATTTGTTTTAAATACCTGAGCAGAGGTCAGTCTCAAAGGCCACAGATACGCTCTGCGAAGGAGCAGTGACTTGAGGTGGTTGGTGCACGGCAGGGACGGGGACACAGACTGTGGGGAAGGGCAGGGCTGTGCAGCGTCTTTGGGGAGGCCTGACCACAAACTGGCCACCACCTGAGGCTTTTCCTTGGTCAGCGTTCTGCGGAAAGGAGCAAGACAGAGACCCCTGAGAGCTGGCAGAGGCTTCCTGTGGGAGCGCTGCCATGTGGTGCACAGGGAGGAAGTCAGTTCGATCACACCGTGAGAACACGGCCCCAGGAAGAGTCAAGGGGTTGCCTCAGTTATAAGACTGATCCCCACGGCCAGAGAGGGGCTGCTTCTACGGCTGGAGCGGGGCTGGTCCCATGGCTGGAGAGTGGGTGGTCCCACGGCCACAGAGGGGCTGGTCCCAAGGCCAGAGAGCTGAGAACTTGGGGTTCGGACAGGTCAGGTAGAGCTGGGAGTCAGTGGGTTCTAGGCACAGACATGTCAAAGGGATAGATCACATATACACTTGAAACAATTAAATGTCCATATACAAATATGTTAATATTTATTGAGTAGATTTGTGTAATTTTGCAGATAAGAACCTCACTATTCAAACTCTTAAGACTTCATATCTGAATGTCTGGAAACAAAAAAAAATATTTTTTCAGATAATGTTGAACTTCTCACTGCCTGAGTTCACTGTTCATATAGATGACATTTTCCCAGAAAGACTCGGGGGATAAAAGTGTCCTTCACTGATGTTCACTGCGTGGCAAGTATGTGCAGGTCACTAAGGGAGGGTTTCAGAGGGGTAGCCCGGCCCTGAAGGATGCATGATAGCAGTGAAATTAAGTCCCTTCCTGTGACATGGTGTCTAGGGCCTCACACCATGACCCATGACTACCTGTCCTTAGTGCTCCGTCCCTTGCCCATCCTGCCTCACCCCGTTCCACCTGACCAAGCCTGGTGTGGACCCCCCCTTGTTTCTGTTCAGCTTCAGGGCAGAACTGTGTGTGTGTTCTAGGTTTTTCCGAGGTCCTGCACAATTAAGTCCTGCACCTGGGGTTCACCAGACCGTCTGCACCTCTCGTGCTTGTTAGAGCTATATGTGGATATGGATGCTACCATGCATAATTTTACAAAATATTTGTATAGTCAGTAGTCAATAATCCTTCTGTTGCCTTGTGTGGATTGTCACCTGATAGACTTGGAGCCCCTGAAATCAGCATTGTCCTGTTCCCTGCCCCCAGCTCAGAGCTGGACAGGGTTCGGAAAAACAGAAGGGTGGGGAGAGCGGAGAGAGACCCAGAGATAGACACGGAGAGAGACAGGTCACACCGCCAGGCCATGCAGGCTTTCTGGGCAAGGTTGCTGTGTAAATGAGAACATTGCTAATTACCTAAATTCAGTACCATTACATTTAGTCAAATAAAGGCTGTACTGTATTTTCAAAAAAGTTTGTCAATGACCAGATATAATATTAACAATTAGCATTAAATGCATTCGGGGAACATAGAGAATCGCAGTGTTAAAAGAATAGCTTATTATTTGGTCTCCAATATTTAACCAAAGACTAAAAAATTGAAACAAATTCATAGGAGGGTGGGAATTCGAGATGCTTTGCATTTTGGGCAGATGTGCTCATCTACTGGAAGCAGCTGTCCCCGCCCCTGAGGACTGGAGGGGCGGTGGGGATGGTGCCGTGAGCCTCTGTCGGGCTCCCCAGGGCATGTTCCCATCTGTGTTCTCCGCACCGTCTCCTTAATTACAACTGTCTGTGTAAATTTGTTCCCGAGAAAGTGCGGAAATGCTGAACAGCTTTTGGGATTCCTGTTCCGTTGTATGTGCCGACTTAATGAAAGCCGGGAATCAGACTTTACACATAAGGTGGTGAAATTCTTCATTAGGAGGAGGTGACATTCGTGTTCCATATTAAACAACACTTACATGTCTGCGAAGTAACTCTCTTAATGTGCTTCAAATTGGCTGTTCAGCCTGATGGGTGGGGTGCCTGCTGCTTGGCTGCTGATGTTTTCCCACACCTACACGGGCCCATGCATGCGCATGTGCACCCATGCAGTCCACACATCCATGCACGCCCAAGTGCACTCACATTTGCACGCCCCATGCACACTGACACACATGCTCACATGCACATGTTCACACACATTCACCAACATGAGTGCACACGGTCACCCACACACATGTGCAACACAACCACACCCACACATGCATGTGTGCACACTCACAAGCATGCACATTCCCCACGCATGTGCGCACTCGTGCACACGCATTCACACACATGTTCACACAAGTGTGCACGTGCTCACACGCTCACCCACACACATGCACGACACATTCCCAATACACACACATGTGCATACACTCATGGGCACACACATTCCCCACACATGCACACTCTTGCATGCGTGTGCCCATGCACACATTCACCCACAGACATGCACACACGCACGTTCCCACTCATGCACGCGCATGTGCCAACACACAAGCCATTCCAGTTGCTGCTGACACTAAGCTTGCACAAGTGCCCTAACAAAGCATGACGTCCCTGAATGTTTCTTAACACTTGTGCCCCTTTTGCAACCCTGCAGCTGACCAGACAGGGATGTTGTTCGTAGGAGATGCCGTGCTGCAGGTCAGTATTGCAAATGTTAGCCCTTGGCTCTGTTGTTACTTTAAAGTTCTAGTGACCAGTATCATCCTCAAACTTTTCAATTTGTCGTCTTTTCAGGTTAACGGCATTAACGTAGAAGATGCAACCCATGAAGAAGTGGTGAGTGTGCCTCCTTTTGTAACTTTTGTTCTGCTTGTTGTATATTCTTTTGTTGTGATTACTTTTCTCTGTAAATCATATTTCACTGAGTGTATTTGTGAACCGGAAAGAACGCTAGAAAGACTTAGCAGGTGCCTTGCCGGAGGCCCTGTGAGATGCCCGTGTGCGGGGAGGTGCATCCTAGACACTGCGATGGGCCTTCACAAGCTGTGCAGGGTGAACGGTGCCGCTCCCATTCTAACTGGGAAGACTGAGCGTTGGGGAGTGTGGATGCTGCCCGGCCGGGGTGAGACGAGTCTGTCAGGTGTCCCCTTGTTGGCTTGCTCTCACACGCTTGTGTGTAATGTGGGCAGACACCTTGCAGGACATCTCGTGACGCACACACCTGGTGATACCTGGGACGAGGGCTCATCAACATGCATTTGCCCCGGACTTCCTTCTGTGGTCAGGTCAGACCGCAGGATGCAAGGAAGGATGGAATAAACACCCCACGGGATGCTGGGCACAGAGAAGCTCTGACGTCCATGCACAGGGCATGGCTGATGCCAGGACGGCACCGCGGAGCGGTGGGGTCAAGGTCGCAGGTGCCGTCGATGAAGGAGGGTGACGTCGATGAGGGAGGGCGATGGGGACAGCCACAGGTGCAGCTCAGTGCAGGGGTGGTACCTGGGGGAGAGGGGGCGAGACCAGGAGGAACGCCTGGTCCCGGAGGCACTGGTGCGGACGCCTCTCACAGGGAGCTTATTCTGGGGGTTACAGGGTTCCCAGCACACTTTCAGTCTGTGAACATCCCCTGAAGGGTTGGCGTGTGGACACCCCTGCCTCAGGGTTTGTTTTCCCAGGAAACCAACCGTTAGCTCCAGGTGAGGGCAGACAGCCGCTGTGCTGGAAGGTCCCCCGAGATGAAGCACACTGAGCTTCCAGGACACCTGCTCACAGCCCATGTTGTTTGCTCACCTGCGAAGAATCCGTATGCACCCCCACCTCTTCCTGTGGGGCCCACGCATGGCTCCTGATCTGCGCCAGGCCTGGAGAAGGCGCTCGCAGTCAGCATAAACACGTACTGGCTCTCGAGAGACACACAGTTTGGGGTGTATGTGCATGGAGTGTTTCCAACTGTCCACGTTCTAAGCTGCACGTCTGTGTTTTCTCTGCAGGTTTGCTTTCTTAGGGTGAAGAAAGACATGACTCACAGGGCCCCGTGCACCCCGCCCCAGCCCAGAGAAAGCAGGCAGTGTTCACCCAAATGCTCATCCTTGAATGAATGATGGGCAAACCTTGTAAACAGAGCTATTCCAATATTGGGTACAAATATACCTTTAAATCACATTATCAAATGATATGTCTAGATTCTTATGTGACAGAAAAGATGTGGTTTTAGCACTACTAATGAGACAGATTCCGTTTTTCAGATTCATAAAGTTCATAAAAATATTAAGTTTGTGAAGGCCTCATAAATCACATAGCCTCACACCCTCATTTTTCAGAGTAAATCCTAGTTTCAGTTAATTCTAAAAGGAAGAATGTCAGCTCTGCTTGAACACAAAGGATCCACAAAATGAATCTTCCTCATGGACATACCGTCCCAAGCTTCGGAATAGTTTTGCTACATGACAGGGGCAGAAATCTGCTTATTTGCATGTAATACATATGTGGGGATAAGCCTACAGCTTCCCTCTGTTTAATACACTCGGGTTTTTCTCCACATCGGTATCTGCTGTTACAGCAGCCGCGGCAGGGTCAGACTGTCCATGGGCAAGTTTGTGTCTTGGGCAAATTCTGAGACACGTCATCCGAGACAAAGGAAAGTCACTGAGCCTGACGTGTGCGGGGAGGAGCAGGGACCGGGGCAGGTCTGCAGGCGGGGCTCACGGGCAGGCTAGGCTGAGTGGGCTGGGCTGACAGGACCTCAGAATGGCCCACCGGACAGATTTCATTTTCCCTGCAATATGGTCAGAACTTTTAAAAAGACCTTTCAGATATGAGAGCATCGTGGTAGAAAGTTACTTCTAGTCTGATGTAGCAGACTGAGTTCTTGGGTACTATGAACACATTGGTGAGAACTGCCCTGATCAGTAAAAATTCCTAAGTCTCCTAGTTGAGTCAAAATCAGTCCTTTTTCACATGTTTCCATACCCATCCAGCCTCAGTAAGGCCTCAGGGCAGAAACAAAGTCAGTCACGTGTGTTAAACACAGAACAGAAGATGGTGTGGAGCTCAGAGCAGCTGCGTGTCCCAGGCTGTGCCCACCCATAGGAGCACCACCACTCACCCGGCGCCCCTCACCGAGGTTCGCTCCGTCTGTTAGAAGGGGGGCTCGCTTTCCCCAGGCCATTCTCACTTGACAGATATTTATGGAACATGTCTTATGCTGGAACTAAGGGCATCGAATCGTGCATAAGCCAGGCCTTGCCCTCAAGGGTGAGTGTGGTCTGATGCGGAGCAACGCGCTGCATTCACATTGGAGGAGAGCCACCCTCTGCTCTCAGCTCAGCTCCTGGCAGAGACGCCCCTCACCCTGTCCCAGTGGAGTCGCCCTCTGTCTCCTCCCACCGCCTCCCTACATCCTGTCTTTTGGGATCAGGTGTTATCATCCCCTGCGTCTCTGCTCAGGTGAGAATGTGCCCAGAAGCTCCATCACTATGAACAGACAGGTGGCTCCAGAAGCCTTTCCATCTCGTGAAAAGGAGCCTTGGAGCTGGATCAGACACGAGCCAAAAAGCATGGATTAGACTGATGGGTGGGCAGGTGGATTATAGATAGAAGATTAGATGACCGATGGGTACAGAGACATGTAAAGATAACTAACTGACAATATTTTCTTACTCATGAGCTGGGAAATTGCTGGGGGAGGTGGTTCTCCACCCCAGGGCACATTAGAATCAGCACCACACAGAGATTTCAGGAGATACGTTAGTTTCAGCATGATGTCTCCATAATTTCCAGACCTCTTAATTAGTAGTGTTCAAAATCACAGGAGTGGGGAACACAACTTGTTGTAAGGTCGCGGGTATGGTTTATGGGACACAAGTGTCATGTGGCGGCAGTAGGGGGTCGAGACTCCTGCTCATGTGCTCACCTCTTCCACCGAGACCTGGTCCAGCCCAGTCTTGTATAGACCAGTCCCCCTTGGAAAGGTCGCTGCCCACGTCCAGCTTGTGTGGCTTTGCAGGGCAGGTGATGTTCGAGCCTTGGTGGACAGTTGCTTTGTGTTGTGGCTCGTGGGCCTGTGGTCAAGCATTCAGACCCTGCCAGAGCCCAGCAGCAGCTCACTATCCCAACGAGCTTCTCCAAGAAGACAGCATTTACTAGCAGATATGGTTTTATTGACATGGCTTTATCCCCAGACCCAAGGGTATGCATGTGACTGTCCTGTTAGCCTCCCCCAGACGCCGCCTAGCAGTCCCGTCTATGTGGACGCTTCAGCACCTTGGGTGGCGGAACCCTTGCATGACGGTAGCATGGATATGCTGCTTCTCAAAACTGGCTGCCTGATGGGTTGTCGGGTAAGTGGGCAGAGCAGCATGGCCAGATGTGGTTTCTGTTCCCGTCAGAACCCACAGAGACCGCTGGGAGTTTTGTTGTCTTCCTAGCCGGAGGTCCGACCTGCAGTGACTCGTCCTTCAGCCTGGAATGCCTGATGTGCCCCAGGCCACCAGCAAACAGCAAACGCACGGAGGTTGCGGGCTCGCGTCTGCCGTGGGGCCGTGTCTCGCTCCCCCTGGCACGTTACCAAATTCTCCGAGGTGTTACCTCATTTTCCCCAAGTGGAATAAGCATGATGCCACCGAGGTAGCAAACCAGCAGACAGCCCTGGCAGAGGCCCCATTTCCTGTAGACGACAGAAGGACAGGCGGACAGATGGCCGGCGTAGCCCTGAGGCAGGAGAGGAAGGACACAGTGCTTCCAGCCGGCAAGGATGGAGAAGGCGAGACGGCCGCGTGAGCGGTCGCACCCGAGGGAGCAGGAGCAGGGCACGTCGGGGGCAGCTCTGTAGTCGTCGTCGGGGTCCGTGTGTTCATGTTTACAGTGGAGCGCCGTCGTCATGGCTGACTCACCTGCTCCGCCTGGGCCGGAGAGGCACGCGGACTGGGAGCGTAGGACGAACCGCCATTCTTCCCGTCCTTCCTGTGGCCCGGCGGCTGGGCTTCTGTTGCGCCAGAAGAAGCGGTTCTGAGGGTTTCCACAGGCCCCTTCTGACCGTGAGTCAGGAAGCCAGCGTGGAGATGCCGCCGGTTAGTGAATACGTCTCTTCAACTCTATTCAGAAAAGGGAAGAATCACCGCAGGCTGCGTCTACAGCCCCAGGACGCGTGTGCGGTAGGCTCAAGAGGAAGGAAAGGCGACTGTCGCTGGCCCACCATCGTGGGCTTGGGTCCCTGGGAGGTGGCCTCAGTTCGGATCCAGCACCGATGCCGCACGTCCTTCTGTGGGAGCCAGTGGGGAGGCGGGTGGTACAAACGTTCCTCCTGAGGACTCTGTCCCGGATTCAAGGGCAGCGGTCCTTGAGTTGACTCGGTTCTGGAGGCTGATTGAGGCTCCGTGGCTCTGCTGTGAGAAGTCAGGTCTGTCCCATGAGAGCTCAGGAAGGGGAGTCTCGGGAAGGCGAGTGGCTGCCGTGTCTGTGAGTTGCTGTGGGACGGAATCTGCGCTCACCAAGTGTGGTGACCCCAGATCACCTCCCCTCTCCCCCTAAGCTGTCCTGCCCCAGTCCCCAGAGCAGACATGCTGAAGAAAGTGTTTTCCTTCTTTGAAACTGATTTATTCTCAAATTTCAGTTCATTCCGTAAGTTCTCAATTCTTTCTCACGGTGGCTTCTGTTGGCGGAAGGCCAACATCCCGACAGAGAGAAGATGACGTGGTTCGTCCGTGGTAACCCATGGTGTTTTTCCTGCTGTGCCGGGACTTCAGGCATAAGAGCCACCAAGCAGTAATCCAAGGACTATGTCAAGGATCACATACAGCAAAGGAAATTTTAGATGATTTACCCAAAACAGTGCAAGT